AAACTACACAAGCAAATTCACATATATTTGAAGCAACTATTAGGAAATTGTTCAAAATAAATGACAAAATACCCTTTTCAAATGCAAATCATGCAATTCAGAAGCTGATTTTTTTAGACAACCTAAAGCAGCAGAGTCAAAGAAAATTAAGGAAGCTGCATCAGTTTCATCAACTATTCTAACTTGAATGCAATATCTATAAAAATTAAAAAAAATAATTAAAATACATAAGTGAGAATATCAAAACTTTCTTGGAAAAATTCATTGATATAAGAATCTAAGTTAATGGAGAAATCTACACATGTTTTCATCAAATAAAATTGAAATAATATATTTTTATCAACAAAACTAACTTAATTAGCATATTCTGCAATTTCAAGGTAGAAAATAAAAATGAAAAAATTGATATACAAATGAGACAGAATCTGATTCGAGGATTCTTCATTCGTTTCTCACGATTTCTGCAATATCAAATTCCAAAATCAGACACAACTCCAGTTGTGCAAGTGTTGCAACTCGTGTAATACCAATTATTTGTAGATTCAATATATGTGATTTTTGCAAGAGTCACACAAGTCACCACCTAAATTATCAGAGAAAAATATCAGTTATTGTCATCCAAAAAATAACAAATTAATAGACTATAACAAAATTTTATTCTTAAAAGGGCAGTGCTTACATCTTGGCAGTCTTTAATCTCAATAATAGTTTTTTGTATAGAAGTCACTAAGAATTCTTCATCTAAAGAATAAGTGGTTGAGCATGCATGACTCAATATTTGACCACTCGACTCTTCACCCATTGGAATCCTATTTACTGAGTTTAAAAAAAGCATTAATTGCAAAAGATAATTTAAGAAATTAGATTTAAAAAACAAAAATAGTATCAAAAACTAAGGTTACCTCCCTTTGAGAGCCAAGATCTCAGGAATTTCATCATTATTGATGAATATTCTAGAATTGAACTTTGTATTAGAAATTTTCATTTCACCTAAAAAATCCAAATAAAATAGTTTTATTTTAAGAAAGTAACATAAAAAGGAAATTAAAGAGCTAAAAGGAAATCCAAAGGAAATTAACATAAAAAGTTAAAAAGTCACACATGTCTACCGCAAAGGAAAGAAAGAAATTAGTATGAAAAGCAATCAAAAGATGGACCACAATAATGAGGAATTCTTCTAAGACATGGAGAGTTCGCCAAAAAAAAAAACAAAAATGGAGAGTTTGGCCAGAGAAAGAAAACAACAACAAAAAAAAAAAAAAGAAAAGAAGACAATGAGTCATTTTCAAAAGCAATTAAAGTAGATAAATTTAGCAACTTACAATAAAATTGTCTGGTTTCAGTCCATGGATATTCATTCATAGCTGGTTTCTTAAAACAGTTTTATTTTAAGAAAGTAACATTAATTTTATAAAAATAACATAAATAAAATAAAAACAAAAGGCATACCTTTCCAAAACTTCATTTTTGCAAATTTAATCACAAAGATGATTGGTCTATTAGAATTTGCTTCCAGTGAAGATATCATTTCTTCAGCAAATTCTTCCCACAAAGTACACTTGATTTTCTTCCCACTGATGACAAAGAGTTTATAAGTCTAACAAACTTAAATAAAAAATTAAAATATTACTTTAAATTTTAATTTGAGATACATACCGAAGATCATCCAATTCAAATGTAATCATCTTAGTGTTGTTCCATCCTTAGTTATCTCTTTCCTATCAATGATAGTTGAGAGCAAACCAATTGCATCTATAACAATTAAAGAAATAAAAGTACAAATTTAGATAACATAAAAATATAACATTTTAACATATCAACTAAAAATATAAACATTTTGAAAATGAAGAATCGCAAGAATAATTGAGCATGCCAACTAAAAAAGCATTTTCTTTTGTCTGACTCAAAATTTTGTCATAATCCACAAAGGAAAACCCATATTTTGAAATGCTGGAATCATGCACCAAAGATAGTGTTGTTCTAGGATTGAAAACAATCTTATAATTATAAACAGTTGGCCTAAAAGAATCAACATTCAAAGACACGCTAAAAGTAAAAAAAATGTAAACATGTCCTTCCTTTAATGAATCTTTGATTCGAAGAGAAGCCCTTACGGTAACTTGAATTCTTCCACCCTATATATGTGTAATAACCATAAAAATCAGGAGATAAAAAAAAGAAGCATAAAACAAAGTCCAAAAAAAAAAAAGAAGAAAGAAATATTATAAACCATTACATGTTCATCCAAAAAAACCATCTCAACATTTTCTCCCAAACGTGGCTGCTGAAAATTTCTTTGTTTCTAAAGTCTAATAACTCTAACCTTCAACCTCTATTGCTCCTTTGATGGGTTAATGTCAATAATCTTATCAAATCTCCCAGACATGATGAAAACAAATCACTAATATTCAACAAAAGCTTGTAATGTAGAGGAGAGATTAAGTCATTATATAGCTATATAAAAGCCTCTTCAACTTCCAAGAAATTATTGAGTTGGTAATATTAAAAATTAAAAAGTTAAAAAACAAACAAAAAATCAATATGCTTAATGCATCCTTCCATTTCTTTTTTCACTTTATCTACCGTTGTTATTTATTACTGCTTACTTTCTATTGGAATGCAGTTAATTAACTTTTTGAAACTTGAAACCTTATAAGAAAAAAGAGTCCTTATCAGACAAAAGAGGTTGGCTTGCTATTAATGTATTTGAAAATGAAAAAAAAAAAAATAATACCAATCTATTGGGAAGTAAGAAGCATATTCATTATTTATTTTGTTTTTTCAAGAAAAATAATAAATAAAAATTAAAAAGAAAAATAAGAAAAATAGAGCTTTAATTCAAGAACTTACAGCCGGCAAATAAAATATTTGCCGGCTGACATGGTTTGTCCAGTCAGCCGGTAACTTATGGGCACCATCGAAACGCACTGAAAAGGGAGACAGGAGGAAATCTATGGAAGGCAATTGATGGGTCTTGTGCCTGTGCAAAAACAATCCATAGGTATTTGGAATGAGAAATTAAGACCAATAAACAGTCAGTGACTTAGTTTTGTTCCATTTCAAATGGGAAATCTATATATGCAAGCATAGAATTAACAGAGAGAGGAAGAAGAAGCACCTGTATTTTTTGGTAAATTGGAGTTCGTTTCCATTGCAAGTGAGAAATCTACATATGCAGGCATGGAATTAATGGAGAGAGGAAGAAGAAGCACCTATAAATTTTGTTAAATTGGAGTTTATTTGAAATTAGGTATTTAGAAGGTGGATGTAAAATCTAAGGGGAAATGAAAGGCATACCGGAAAGGAAAAAAAGAAAGAAAGGAATTTATGAAAGTGGGTGTAAAATAATGGAGATAGGAAAAAGAACAGCAATAAGAGAAACATGGTGCAGCCGGAAGTGGGTGGAGTTTGTTTGAAATTAGGGATTTAGAAGGTGGATGCAAAATCTAAGGGGAAATGAAAGGCAAACTGGACAGGAAAAATAGAAAGAAAGGAATTTATGAAAGTGGGTGGAAAATAATGTAGGAAACGGTGCTAATGGAGACAGGAAGAACAGCCATTTTTCCATCCATGGTGCAGCCGGAAACGGCACTAATGGAGAGAGGAAGACGAAGAGCAATAAGAGAAAAACGGTGATAAATAGTTTATTTAGGTTTAGATATGTGAATTTGGGTTAAAATTAAGAAAAAAGGTAATTTAGTGATTTAAATTAATTAATTTATTAATAACTTGCATTTAGTATGAGAAACATTTTTAATTAAAGTAAGTAAGCCACGTATTAAAAGAACAATAATTTCAAAACTACATAATAATTTAACACTTCCCAACAGTGGGTCACACGCGGTTGGCAATCACTCATTTTTCTTTTGTGAAAAGAAAGTACGACTACGACGTATTTGGATTTGTCTGAACTTTAATAGATCAAACAATCCAACCCAGGGATCAGATGCCCGTTTAGAAACGAAAGGCGGGCGGCAAGAATATGGAAAACCTATGGAGGGGATTGCTCAGGAAAAAAAATCCCTGTGAACGGGATTACCGGGCAAGACGAAGGATCGGAGTTGGGGGAAAATCTGGTTCGAATTTTATATTGATTGATCTTGCCTTAAAATCTTTCTATCTCTTCACCGAGGGTTCTTTTTCCTTCCATTTATCTTTTCTATTTCTATAACCCAAAGGTCATACAAGCTTACCGATCCAGGTAAGACTCAGAAAACAGATAGATCTCCATATTTAAAGAGAGAGGGAAGTCATGGCGATCAAGTTGGATGGAACGGGTACTTGGACATGGCTTGGGGTACAGCTTCCTTTACCAGATCCACTGCTGGATCTGTTGATAGATGGAAGTCAACACTGGTAAATACATATTATTATTGTGATGTTTATTTTTTTATTGTTACTTTCATTGTTATCGTTGTCTTGCCCCTTTTTTGGGGTAAATTTTAGTTTTAGTTTTTGGATTTTAATTTTTTGTTTTCATTTTTATACATTTTATAATTATAAAAAATCAAAATTAAAAGTTTGTTTAAAGTGAATTTTAACATTAATAATAAAAAAATAAATTTAAATAATAATATTAAAATTATTTTTGTTCGTATTTTTTTCGTTTAGAGTTTGTAAAATTTATAACAATTAAAATCAAAAATCAAAAACAAAAAACCACACCAAAATTAAACTTAGCAAGAATGTAGGTAAAGATTTTGAATTTTCAGCACAAAAAGTGAAACAGCAATATGATCAATTACAAATGGAGAAAACATCAGAAAAATATTATTACAAATGGAAAAAAAGTGAATACTGTTAAAATAATAAATTTTAAAGATTTGGTGATAATTTTTGTTTTTATTTATTTTATTATTAAAAAATGAAAAAAAATTTATGATAGAATAAATAATTGAAGTTGATATGTAATGATAAAGCTGAAGGGGCTATCTGGTATAATGATATAGGATAGTAATTAGTAATTTTATTCAAATCGATGCATAAAAGTATTTAGTAATTTTTTTTCCCACAAATTGTTGCATATTTTTAGTGTTTGGTAAAAGTTTTAATCTAGCAGATTCGTGGTAGCGGGTAGTGCTCAAAGCCCAATCTACTAGCCAATTTAGTAGCGAATTGAAAAAACTCCTGAAAGTAGTTTCTCGCCTATATTGCTAGGTAAGTTTAACCAAAAAATAATTGGATATATAATTCAAGGTCACTAATTACTAGCTAAGTTTATCATTATTTAAAAATTGCTAATTTCTACTCTTTTTCATTAACATTATTCAATTTTAATGATTATTAGCCTTTTTTTATGATAATGTTCAATTTTAACATTAATTTGTTTATTTTTATTTTTTCTTATTTAATTCGTAGTTAATTTTTTATTTAATAAAAATATACTAAGCCACTATGATAAATTTTTTCTTTTTTTATTTTGTTGGTGAAATAAAACATTAGTTTGAAATTGAAAATTAAAAAGATTTCCTTAATAAATGATGCATGAAAAATTAAGGGAAGGGAGAAAATATTGTTAGTTTATTTAAACTAGATGAAAGGGTTAATTCTATAATTATCTGCCTTTCCTTCTTCCTCTTTTGGAAACCCTAACTACCTTCTTTGGAAACCCTAACTAGAGAAAGGGAAAACCTCCCCTCACTCCGCCTCCCTTATCATCGTCCCCCATCCCTTCCCCTCCCTCTTCATCCGATACATCCAATCCAAGCAATACGTTAAAATCTCAATTGAAACTAAGCTGCTATCATGCGGATCTACGTTTATGGATTGATCTTATTGATTTGCGGACAACTCGCGGCCGATCTTTCTGGAGGTAGGGTAATTTTTTTTTTTTTTGCTAAAAGGTGAATTTTTTTTTATCCAGTATCTGTATACGCAAGCCTGGTAGGTTTATGATCTCCATAATCCCTTTGATTGGGAGGGATTTTAATCTGCGGTCTCTCCATAATCCCTTTCTTTAACAAGTCAATTGCAATTAGGAATATTAGGATAAATGATGGGGAATGTGAAAAAAATACAGTTGAATAAGGCTCAAACTGAACACTCTCTTAGGAATTAGACCGAGCACCTGCTGGGTATAGTTACTGGAAGGTTTGTGAAGGGTTGAGAGTGAGATTTTGGAATGATGTCTGGATAGGGGATCATGAGTTTCAGTTCTTGTATCCTGGCCTGTTTGCTTTGTACGAGGAAAGGAGGCTAGGGTGATGGAGATCGAAATGTGGAGGAATGGGGATCGAGAGTGGAGGTTGGAATGGAGGTGGGGAGGCTAGGGCCTGAATGGGATTTAGGAGGACTTTGTGAGCAAGGTAGATGGGGTTGGTTTGAAGGAAAATACTGAAGATGTGTGTTGGTGGAAGTTTGATGGGGGCACTGTCCATATGACAAAAAAAGCTTATGAAGAGGTGGTGAGAAAGGAGAGGGTGATTGAGAAAGAATCTACTGACTAGATTGCCGAAAATTTGTTGGGTTAATTTGGTGGGGAGGATGCTATGTGTATCTTTTGTAAGGAAGAAATAGAATGCATTGATAATGCTATGGTGAAGCGCAAGAAGATTAAGAGGATACAGATGGATGTGTGTAGGTAGTGGGGGGTGGATTTTGTGTATACCAAATTCAGTTAGGGAAATTATGTTTGCAGATTGTGTATGGGAAGCGTGGGAAAAAGTAAAGAGATATGTTTGGTTGTGGAGGAATGGTCAAATATTTCAGGAAGTGCAGATGCAATCGATGGATTGAATTGATGCAAATGAAGTCTTTTTACTTGGTTCAAAAGGAGAGCAAAAGGATGTAGCAATCCATTTAAGGAATGGTGTGACAGCCCATGACTTTGTGTTAGAGAATGGTTAGGGGGGAGGAATTGGTAGGTATAAGGTGGGCATTGATGAGTATTTTTTTTCCCTAATAATATCCCTTCTGATTTATTATTTAAATCTTTTCTGTCTTCTCATTTTCATAATTCAGCATATCAGAGCATTGATGAGAGAAATCAACATACTTGGTTTTTTTTCCTTTTGCAGTGTCTACTATCAACAACGAAATGCAAACTCTAGAGCAGGCAAACCCTCCAGGTTCCTCTTTTGTCTGCTATTTACCTGATTTACGATTATTTTTTGAATGTAGTATTGTTCTGTTGATTTGTTTTGTTGTTTGGATTTTTGTACAGTTTTCTTGAAGATTTGAAATTTAATTTTGTGTAGTGTGTATCATGTTATGTAAAAACTAGTTGTTTATTAAAGTTATAAAAGGATAAAGATGTCAAATTGAAACTAAGTTAATCCTTCCCTTTCCTTTATATTGGTTAGCCAAACAAAAAATCACATAGTCCTTTCATTTCCTTCCCTTATTTTTATCATTCCCTTTCCTTTCCTTTCCTTTTAGTTGGGCCAATGTTTTAATTTAATTTAACTGGATGAAAATTCTCACTTGCCTCCCCTCTGCTTCTTATCCCTAAAACCAAACAAACTTGTCTACGCTACATTTATTCAATTTACCTACACTACCTGTCATTGAACAGAGTGCCAATTCAAGCCACCTAGTGGGGGATGTCCTTCTGCTGTACGGTGTTTATCGAATTGCAAAAAGTGCCTGAGGGGTTATGCTCCTAGAAGGTGGGGATGTCACTTTAAACCTAGCACTCAAAGCTATGAATGCCTTTGCTCCAGAAGCTAAGTTCGACACCTAGTGAGCATGGTAGCTACTCCATTTGTGGTGTTGATGAGGTAATCTGTTTTTATTTTTTGATATATAGAAGTGCTTGATAATCTTCTCTCGTTTGTAGGCCAAAAGAAAGCTCGCTGCGCTGCATGAAGGTCTCTTCTATTCTATACAAAAGAGCATTTTTATGCCAATGAACAATTGCTGGGTTTTCCTTGCACATCCTACTGATGCTCATGCTCTGAGTTCTCCTATTTTGGATTGCAGGGATCTTCTACGGCGGATTCCACACGGGGAGGTTGTCCGTGTTGTTCGCCAAATGGCCAGAATGGGACATGCTCTTTCTCAGGATTTTGCGGTGTTTCCTTTTTGTCCCACGAGCAAGAAAGTTCTCTATTTTGGATCTAATGGTGTTACTTGGATGTGTTTTTATGGTTTAGACTGGGTTTGGACCCAATCCATGATACCTTGATTTTAATGAATTACGGACTAAATATGTTCACAATTGAAAGGTCAAGGACTAAAATTGAAATTTAACCGTCTCCTGATGCCTACCAATTATGTTACTCTGTATGAGTGCACCATGCTTCGCAGTTTTTGTTAAAATATTCTTGACCAACGGAGAAACAGAAAGCCATTTTATGCTTTTTAACAGTGTTAATTAAGGATGTAGTATTTGCTCTGCTTGCTGGTTGTAGGGAGGTATTTGGCTTGATTTTTCTCACCATGTTAGGCGATTAAAATTTGAAAGAATCGCTAGTGCATATATAGTCGATCTAGGGTGTTTTGAAATGGTTTACTGTTAATGAATTTTTAGAGAATTCAGTGTGGAAAATACATTTGACTATATGTCCTCTGATCAAAGCTGAGCCTGGTGGAGAATTATAAGAGCGGAGGTGCTACACTAAATAATTTTATCTATGAAGCTACTAATTTAGTTAGGTGCTCCAATTTCTAAAGGGAGGTTATATTTTGCTAACCAAATGGACTCTATAAATAAATGTGTAAAGCCACTAGTGATTTGTGAACTAATGATTTGTGATTTGAGTGCAAGAAATTTAGTTTCTTACATGTGAAGCTTTGAATTTGAGTTGGATTTTGTAAATGAAAAAAATAAATATTAAGAAATAAACAATACCAGAGCTTTTTTTAACAGAATTTGATGCAATTTTATTTTAAATTAAATTACTAAGGGTTAATGTATTTTTAGATTGGTTAAATATCAGATTTGGTCCTTTAACTTTTATTTTTGAACTAAAACTATCTTTGAACTTTATAAAGTATCAAAAATATCCTTAAATTGCTATCTTTGAAACCAATTTAGTTCTTCCATCGGTTAAGTGCTGACATGGACGGTTATTTCATCCAAAATATTAGGTTTTATTTTATTTCATTGGTGACGTGGACAATTTCTTTATGTCAAATTGTCAATATCTATTTTTAAGTGAATCTCTTTCTTTACAAATTTTAATATATTAATTAATGAATTAAATTAAATATATTGGGACCAATCACTTGTGTGAGTTGCATGACTCCCCAAAATCTTAATTATTTCTTTAAGGGTTTGTTTAACTATACTTCTAAAGTTAGATTAAAGATGTAATAAATATATTTTTTTAAATTAATTTACATAAAAAATAAGAAAAATTAACTTTTATTTTATTATTATTATCTCATAAATAATTTTAATTAATTAATTAATTTAATTCAAATTAATTTTTATTATTTTTATATAAATTAATTATAAAAAATATTTATTAAGACACAGTAAAAAAACACTTTCTTTAATGCATAATTTTCTTATACTTAATTAAAATAAATAGTGAAACCCACAATTAATTAATCTTCGCCCCTCTCCCTCCCCTTCCCCTGCGGCCCTTTCTTTTCTTCTTTCTTTCTCCAGTGTACCTTCCCTCGTTCTCTAGTGTTATCACACTAAAACTCATTTAACTCATTTAAATTTATCAAAGAACAAAACAAAAATTAGTATTGAAGAAAGCAAAGATACTCTTTTCTATTGAAGAAACAACCCCAATTACTACATATAAGGGTTTTGAAATCAATAAAAACAAATGCATTTAAAAAATTTATGGGTTTTGCACAAAACCCAGATTTGGGTTTTGATTCTAGTTGAAGACCATGCTAATCGAATCCTTACTTTGATTATGATGCAACCCAAATCAGGTTAAAATCTTATTTGGGTTGCCAAACCCATTTTGGGTTTTGCCTTAGATCTGGGTTCCCAGATCCCAGACGGCAAAGGAAATAATGAGGGAGGCGAAGTAGGGAGGAGGGAGAAATGAGGAAGAAAACGCCGGCACCGATGATAGAAAAGGGATAAGAACATCAGCGCCACTGTTGAAGAGGCGAAGAAGGTAACGGGAAGAGAGAGAGAAGGGGATTGGCAGATTGGGGGAAGAAGATAAGAGGAGGGTAGTTTTTAAGGTTTCTATTTTACTTTATTAATTTTATTAAGAGCGATCGCTGCGATCCACTTTTAAAAAATTTTTAAAGTGATTAAATGCCATGTGAGCAAAAAATTGCTCCCATGTCATTTCCACCTACTATTCAAAATTAAGAAAATTGATTTTTTACGAAAAAGTTGGCCAAATCAACACTTAACTGAAACTGCAAGAAGGACTAAATTGATTTTAAAAATTAAAGTTTGAAGATATTTTTAATATTTTTTAAGTTTAAAGATAATTTTGGTTCAAAAATAAAGTTGAGGGACCAAATCAAGATTTAACCTTTTAGATTTTGGGGTTTCGCACCAAGTACCAATAAAAAATTACGTCAAAATGACAAAACCCATAAATTCAACCCCTCAAATAGAGGCAGAACATATCCACCCAAAAAATTGTAGGAAAAAATTAAGATAAATTACTTAATTTTTAATGTGTGATATTAAATTTTTATTAAAAAATATTGACATGTTAAACAAAATTTGTTAAAAATAAATAATTTATTTTATTTTATAATTTAAATAGATAATTTACCTTTATATATTTTTATCTTTATTTAACAAGTGAATTTGAGGATTTTACTGAATAAAAATTACCTGCTTTTCTTTGGTAAGTTCTACTTCATTTTACGGCTTTTTTTTCATTAAAAGATTTTGTCCTTAGTTGCATTTTGGACTACAAAATAAGGTATAAGATACTTTTTGCCCGTTTAGTGTAACTTGTGAAAAGAATTTTATGATTTAAAAAACACGAACGACACCAAACATTACAACTTACAAAAACTACGTCAACCTCTCACAGTTAGTCTTTTCTCCATTCTAATGCAATTTTCAGAAGCACGAAATTGGTGCTTCCGTAGGGACTTCTACTTCTGGTTTTAATGAATTTTACTCATTCACCTTATTTTATCCTCACATTTCTTTCTATTTACAAAAAAACCACGGATTACATTTATAACATCCCCATTCCAGGTTCTTTCTCAAGCAGCCCAAAATCATTGCCAGTGTTTCTTCCCAGTCTTTTTCCCCGTCTTCTTGCCCATCTTAATCCTCATCCAACTAGAGAAGCAAACCAAAAACCCCTCATCCTCCTGTTTCCCCATCTTCTTTCTCCCTAAACCAAAAATCCCTAATTCTCATTCCCCATCTTGTTCAGTTCTCCCTCATCTTATTTAGTTCCTCATCTTTCATCGGTTCTTCCCCATCTTCTTCGGTTCATCCCTTTCTTCTTTCTCAACCTACCTGCAACACAAAATTCTAATTTCCCCCTAATTTTCCTAATCGATTGCTACGAAGAAAGAGTCTAGATCTACACAGCCACACCATCAAGTAAGTTGCCCTTGCTCCCCTTTATTTTCTTTGGTTCTCCCACCCAAAATCCTTAATTTTCCCCCTAATTTTCCCAGTTTTGATTGGTTTGTAGCGGAGTGTTCACCCATTGCCATCAGAGATGAGCACGAAAAGCTTGAGGATTTGGATCTTGGGCAATTCGGCCTACTTTTCTATTTACAGAATAGAAGATGAAATAGAAAACCCACCTCTTCATTTTTTTTTTTTCTGTTTTATTTGTTTTGGTATGGAACTTGGAATTATGTATTGGTGGAAAATTTTTTGAATGCATTTTCTTGCTGCTTTGATTGTTACAACTCTTTGCCTTTTTCACAAATAAGGATGGAAATCACTGATCTTTTCAATCCTCATCTAAGCGTGGGTTGTGATATTTCCATGATGTGAAGTGATGCTTGAAATTTTATTAGCGTTGATTTTATTAATGTTGCTTGCTATAATTTGGATTGCGAACTGGTCAATTCTATGCTATTTTGATCCTTGATTTATCGACTTATTGGTGTGGAGCATGCATGTTTATTTACATTATGTGTTACTTCTTCAATAAGAAAATCATTCCTCTGTATGCTCATGTTTGTGATGGTTACATGTTTATTCCGGGTACAAGTTTCTTCTTAGACACATGCATTTGGGGTGTGGCATTTGGAGGTGGTGGGGAGGGTGTTGAGAAATTACAATGAGAGATGAGTGTTAAGTCCAAAGATGTTGGGTATTTGATTTTCCTCCACTAGTGATGGTGGCATAGCGAAATGTCAAGCTCAACCCATACAACTGTCTAGAATGTAGAACCATTTTTTTTCAATGCCACATAGGTTTCTATAATGATCTAAATTATATATTTTTTTTCTTGATTAAGGTTACCTTATTGCTTGATTGGTTGTAGTATTTAACTTTTATGTTGCGAGGTTTCAGAATCAAAGTCCTACTCCTCTTAGTCATCTTAACTTTCTTTTTAGCCATTAGCGTGTTTCATGCATATACGAGTTTTAGGTTGAAGATTTCCAATTAATTCCATGGTCAGCAAATTCGGGTCTAGTTTGGTTGGTTCACATCAAGCTTTGTTTGATTGAAGGATAGAGAAGGTGGGAATGTGGGATACAAAAGTTGATTCAATAATTCATTAGGTGAATGGGAAAAGTTAATAATTCCTAGTCAAAATGACTCACTTTTATCTCATTCCTAAACCCTATTCAATGGTGATAGCAAAAGTCAAACTTCCTTTTTCCTTAGCAACTTGGCAGGAGGAGGAATTTCATGGAGTAGAGAGGTCTTTTCTCTCCTTGATATACATAATCTCATGTTAGATGTATGACACAAGTAATTTTTTGTGTTCCTTAGAATTTGATAAATGTGATCAAAAGCCAAATTATATGCTTGAAGTGCTTGGTGAAGAGAGCATAGATGAAGGAATTTCTCAAAATAATTTTGTTAGTACAACGGAGAATTGTGATGATGAGTTGAATTCATATGGACATTAATGTGGAATTTTTGTCTTGATATTATTGATATTTGGATGAATTTTACAAGATTTTACATGGTTTTCATTCTTTGTGCAAAATAGGACTTGAATGCATAATAATAGGAGTTTTCGAGATTAATTGAACATTTTTTGAAAGTTGAGGGACTGAATTGCAAGAAGAAGGGCACCTCTTTGGGACCTAAATGAATGAATCTTGAGTTTTGAGATCTAAGTGCTCATTGTACAAAAGCTTGAGGACAGATCTGTAATTTTACCTTTGAAGAAATTGCAAAAGAAGGCCAGAAACTCAACACGAGTGTAGTGTCGACATATAATCTGGGTGTCGACACTATGCGTTAAAAGTCCAAAATCAAACTTCCTGTTTCTTGTTTTGTGTTGATACATAATGGTTAAATACTCATTTTGGTCCCTCAACTTTATCTATTTGCACATTTTTGTCCCTAATGAATTTTTTACGCATTTTTGATCCCTTAACTTCAAAAAATGCACACCGTCGATCCTTCTGTTTATTTGAGTCGTTAAGTCTGCCACGTGACATTTTTTATAATTTTTTTAATGGTGTAGCACGTTTTTTATATTTTTTTAAGGTTTAAGTACCATTTTGGTCCCTCAACTTTACACTTTGGTACCAAAATTGTCCCTCACTTTTAAAAAGTACCAAAATTATCCTTAAACTTTCATTTTTGGTACTAAAATGGTCCTTCCGTCAGTTAAATGACAGGTGTCACGTTAACTTGCCAGCAAATCATTTGACTTTTTGCTTAACTAATGACATGGAAAAGAAAACACAGTTGGCCATCTTTTTTTTTATGAGGTGGCATTTTTATTTAATTTAAAAATTTTGATATCCTTTTTTGCCATCCACGTCATCTCTTCTTCCTCTTTCACTTTCTCTCTTTTACCTTTCCTTTTCCCTTGCCTCTGCAAACCCAGATTTGGGTTCTCTCGTAAACTTCATCTTCTTCCTCCTTTCCTTTCCTTGCTCATCCTTCATCCTTCTTCTTATTCTTTCTCTCTCTCTCTCTTCTCCTTTCTTCTTCCTCTTTCAAACCCAAATCTGGGTTTTTCGCAAACCCAGATCTGGGTTTCATCACATAACATGGAAACTAATCTCGAATATACTAAACAACAAAGCCGAGATCTCCTAAGCCAACTAACAGAAAGGGACATAGATTAAAAAGAGTAAAGAATTTCTAGAGAAAAAGCAATTCGAGCCAAATCACATACAAGCCAACTGCAGATCTAATCTCGAAAATAATCAACACGAAAACCACTTAATCAACTCAGAAAATACACATAGAAAACACAAAATAAGCAAAAGAACAAAACCAAATCTATAC